TACTAAACGTTCAAATAATGAAATATCAAAATGAAATTGCTTTGCAAGTGTAAATGTTGCAGTTCGAGGACGTAATTGTTTGTGATCTCCTGGAAGTAGATTAAGATTATTATTTCCAATATAGAAAATTATTTCAACCAACTTAATAGCTTAAAATTAAAAATACATATGTATTTTTATTTAACTAATAAAACTGAAATAAATTGTACATACATTATTTTTATTAATAAGTAATTAGTGATGGGCATTTTTGAATATTTTAAACTATCGAATAATGATTCGAATTGTTTTTATACAACTGAATAGTTTATTTTTAGCATAAACTATCAATAGTTTAAAAGACTATTCGAATGGGCTACTGAATGGTTTCAAAAAATATTCTATTAGTTCTACCTAAAATTTTTATTCAGTACACTAAATTATAATGACAAGATAATTAATGAATACTCAAATTAATTATTGTACAATCATTAATAGTAAAAATTAGTGATAGGCATTTTCAAATATTTTAAACTATCTAATAACTATTTGAATTGTGTTTATACAACCGAATAGTTTTAAAAACTATTTGAATAGACTATCAAATATTTTAAAAACTATTCAAATATATTGTGTAACTACCGAATAATTTTACTATTCCACATGAAAAGATGAAGACTATTCAAATATTTTTTGAATAACTATCAAATAGTTCGATAGTTACTATTCGATATATCCCATCACTATAAATTATTATGTTAGACACAGTACTGTAAAAATTATTATTTAACATACCTATTAGAATAACATGTTGACAATGTTCGGTCAGTGAAATAACAACATGTGATTCTAAAACTTCAGCCGCTTCTTCGACAATAACTATAAAAATTTATTACTATGAAACAGTGTTAAACAAAATAAACAACTAACTATAATCCAAATCATAAAATATTTAAAAAGAAGAGTATGATCAACTTAGTTACATAACATTGGTTGATGTGAATAGTCATAAATTTTAGTGTCAATCACAATAATAACAAAAATGCTAAAATTTTATTTAATATTTACAACAAATTTTAATGCTGCTAAAATTTTATTAGGTATGAATAACTAATAAAATAAGCAACTTGTATAAATTGATATAGAAATTTATGAACTTATTGCAGAGTACTTGAAATTTTGCTTCAACAGTAATTTGCACATGCGGGGAACTAATATTCTTCAAAACTTCAATAATTTCATGTAAATTTTAAGTTTTTTCAACTAAAAGTATTTTGATAATATCTTTCGATATGTGTTGCCCAGAGTACATATTGTAACAAATACCAAAACTTTATGGTTTTTATTTTGTGCTCATGTGTTTATTTAGTTACTTTAGACTTTGAGAAGGAATGAGGAAGTTGGTATTCTCAAATGCGTTTTACACAAGTTTATGAAAGTATTATATAATACCTTCATTTTCCTTATGAAAATAATGTTTTGAATAATTTTTTTTTTATCACAAAGAAAAATATAGACTTCCATAAATTACCAAAATAAGGGACATCATGGTGTCTCTTATTTGATATTATGACTCAAAACATATGATATAGGCCTAGCGGCAGAACTGTGAAAACATTTCATACCCATTCTATTTTACAATGGTAATAAAAAATAAAAAATTGTAGTACAATTTTTGTTCTAAACTTCTAAATTTATTCAACAGATAAAATTACTTTAATGTTTAGAAATAATAAAAATAGTTATAAATTAGTAGTTATTAAAATTTTTATAAAAAAAAAAAAATAGTAATAATTAACTAAGAAAAAACCTAAAAACTATTTTCTAAAAATTGTATTATGTTAAACTGTATTCACTAATAGATTTCATAATGTCGTGGATTAAAATTGAGATGTTTTATTATTTTATCTAGGAAATATACTTACCAATTGGAGACTTCAATTTTAATAAAATAGAATGTTTCATGGCAACTCCAGTAGTAGTAAGTCCAATTACAAAAGATTTTTTTAAAAATTCTATGCTAGATGTTTGATGATTTTTTAAACTATTTGTTTTTAATAAATCAGACTTAGAGCTCCCTCCAATTCTTACAATTTTGTTTGTAATACTTAATAATCCTTCAAGAAATTGATCTAAAGCATGATTTGTGTAACAAACGACTATAATTGGATTTTTCAATATATTTGTCCTGTACATGTTTTCTATAATACTTTTGACAATTCTTACACCAATAAATGTTTTTCCAGTACCAGGAGGCCCTTGAATAACTGTAAATTCTTTGGTAAGAGCAGCTTTAAAAGCCAAACATTGAGCATAGTCTAGGCCTAATGATTGATTATCTGGCCATTGATAGTCATCTAAAATGTCAAATATCTTTCCATCAATTTTAAAATATTTTGAATGAGGTATTAAGTAAGCAGGGACTCTAGGATTAGTTTTAGCATCTATGATATATGATCTCATGGGAAAACTATTTATATTTGTAAATATAAAAATTATATTGTATAAAAATTTATAAATAGTAACATCTTCTCGTCTTTAACAATTTTTGATTCATAATAAGTATGCATGTTTGGAATATTTATAATTTCCATACCTTTTTCTTTCATTGATTTATAACATTGGATACCTTCTCTCATGGGAGCAATAAAATCTTCACGTAGTAATCGGAATTGTACATCTAAATAATGCTCTACACTATCATATCTACCTTTCATGATATTTGGATTTAAGAAGACCTTTTTAGGAACCAAATCTGCTGGTATAGGATATATTGAAAGCGTTTTGTAACACAGAGGCCATTTACTTTCACCATACTGTACTTTATTAGTAATTTTTATTTCGTCCAAATTTACTTGGGGAATTATTTCTGTTTCATATTGACTATCTATATTGAGTTTTACATTTTTATTATTTAGTTTAGTAAAAGTTATTAAAACAATATCATTTAAGATATTTTTTGATTCTGGGTTGATGATATATTGATTTAAATCTATGCAATTATTAAGAAATTCTTGTAATTGTATTAGACTAACTACATCTTGAATAATGTGATATTTAACAAGGGCATTATTTAAATTTTCAAAATATTTGGAATTACAAATCAAAGATATAACATCAGCTGTTGTTTGATTCAATGGTAATATCTTAATCCTAGAAAATATATTCATCATAAGTATGAGTGCATGAATATCTGTACATTTGTTCAACGTTCCATAGAAAATATCACTATTTATAAGAAATGATTGTAAAAAATCTGGTTCAGATTCAGACAGCAATTTTAACTGAACATCATCTAAGTAGCTTGGAGAAGAACTTTTAACTCCTAATGTAGTTAGTAATTTATTGCCAGAAATAGTTAAGTTTGCAATTTGATCACATATCATACTAAAGATTGATTTTACATGAAATAATATTTTCACATCATTTAATAAAGTGATTTGTTTTGATTCTTTATTTTTAATAGTTTCATCATACAGTGCGGATACAAATACTACATTAAAATCACATTTAGTAATATTTTTGTTAGGTAATAATGCGTTATAAATAGTGTATTATTACATAGTACATTATTTTAAGTTTAAAATTGCAAGTAAGCCCATTTTATAAACTATTTATTTAAATTGTCAATATTTTTACAATTGTATTAATTATTTTAATTTTGAAGGTTAGATTAATTTGGAATTCATCGAAAATTCTTTTAAACTAATAAAACAATTTTTGTAATTTTGTGTCATTTATACGTCTAGTTTTAAAATATATTAATTTAAATAGTATTATTTCCTCATCAATGTAATAATTATTATCCATTTGATTAGATCAAAAAAAAAACTTGATTATTTAAAAGATTTAACTTTTAAATTTTATTTTAAATATTCAATACATATATTGTTTTTAATAATTGATTATTGAACAAAATCCTATATAAAAAAAAAAGTTGATTGTTAAAATTCTTAAGATCACTATTTATTGTATAAATATAATATGTATTAAAATATTTAAATAATAAGATTATCTTGTGCCAATTTATACTTAAAATAGAATACATGATAATATATTTGAAAAATTGTGAACATATTTTTATTTAAATGTAAACATTTTCCTTATAATTATTTTTGTAGCTGACATAATATAATATAAATTATAATAAATTAATCCTCGCTAGAATCGTGGCCAAGGATGGTAGAAACCTCATCTCATGATTCAATTATTTAGTTATGATAACTTTTTTATTGTTTATTCCAATTTTCCTATATAGCAATGCAGAGTATAATTTAAAAATATAATAATAATAAGTAGTAGTAAAATGCTGAAATTTAAAATATTTTAAGAATTTTTTTTTTCAAATTCGAGAGGATTTCAAAAGGAAGCAAAAAAAAAAACCCAGCACAGGGGGGTCGTGGCACAGTGGTGACGTGGCATAGTTGGATCAAGTATTATGATATCTGACAGTGATTAAAATCACTATAAAAAAAAACGCTTCGATGCAAATCTGTAGATAGTGTTTAATTTAAAAAAATTGGTGGATTATTCCAAAAGCTTCATAAACTGCTAGTTCCTTATTAATATCCTGATTAAGATAAAGTATGTCGAATAAAAAAGGGATTATTAAAAAATAGTATTTCCCATAAAAAAATTATATTGATCAATACACTTTTCAATAAATTATAGCATTATAAAGTTAAAAATGAAAAAAAATTTTTTTTTTCAAATTAAAGTATATTACATAAGCTTTAATTTAAGATATATATAAAAGTGTCAGTCTTTCCGGAACATTTTCAAAAGTTAAGTTGAAAAAGTTCTACTTTCTATACGCATTTTAAAAGCTTTGCACCCCCCCTGTATAAAGGGAAATGGTCCGATTTTAAAAAAAAGTATGTCGAATGAAAGAAGTATATATAAAGTATTTATCATTAAAGAATAAAGTTGATTCATGCATTTTTTAAAAAGTTATAGCAACATAATGTTAAAAAATGTAAAATATAATATCAAGAATTTTTTCACAAAAATAGCATATTTTTGCATACGGTAGTCATTTTCACCATGAAGACAAGTCCAGAAAAAAAAATTTTTTTTTTCAAATTAAAGTATATTACATAAGCTTTAATTTAAGATATATATAAAAGTGTCAGTCTTTCCGGAACATTTTCAAAAGTTAAGTTGAAAAAGTTCTACTTTCTATACGCATTTTAAAAGGTTTGCACCCCCCTGTATAAAGGGAAAAGGTCCGATTTAAAGAAAAAGGACGTCGAATGAAAGAAGTTTATATAAAGTATTTATTGTTAAAAAATAGAATTGATTTATGCATTTTTTAAAAAGTTATAGCATCATAATGTTAAAAAATGTAAAATATAATATCAAGAATTTTTTCAAAAAAATAGCATATTTTTGCATACGGTAGTCATTTTCACCATGAAGACAAGTCCAGAGGTCAAATTTTTTTTTTTCAAATTAAAGTATATTACATTAGCTTTACTTTAAGATATATATAAAAGTTATGTTGAAAAAGTTAATTTTTTGTGAAAAAGTTGTAATTTTGAATCCCCTTCTGTGGACAGGAAAAGGGTCAAATTTATAAAAAATATATACAAAATGATAGGTAAATATCTAAGGTATCTATAAAAAAAAAAATTATATTGATTCGGTCATTTTTAAAAAAGTTATGGCAATTTTAAGTAAAAAAAAATGAAAAAATATCGAAAATTAGGGATTTTTAAATTTATAATTTTTTGGGGGATTTCCCCCGTTTATGGGGAACGAGGGATTTTTTTCAATTTTTGAGGGTAATGTCTTCAACTAGATACGATTTGTGATCTTTTGACATATTTTTCATCAAAATCGGTCCAGCGAGAGCTGAGATTGAGCGTTCACAGACACAAAAAAAAAAATAAAAAAANTTTCATCAAAATCGGTTCAGTGAGAGCTGATATTGAGCGTATACAGACACACAAAAAAAAAAAAAAACACATCATAGTAAAATTAATACCTTCTCAGCTTCACATCGAAGCTAAAAAAAAAACATCTTAGTAAAACCAACTCCTTCTCAGCTTCGCATCGAAGCTAAAAACAGAAAGACGGAGCTTAAAAATACCCGTGTATCCTACTTAAATTCATTACATTAAATTGTTAATAACTTCTAAAATGCTGGTCCAAAAGTTGTTATCGAGTCGTTTTCTTAATTAGACGATTTTCTATTTTATAATCTAGTTTAATATGTATGTTGTCATTTAAAAAAATAAAGTTAATACTCCTAAAATATATAAGGGATGGACCTAAAAATTATTATATAACAGATAAATAAGAAATACATATGGAACTAACATAAAACGTACAAAAAAGTATTTTAAGAGAAATTGAGCAGATAGCGTTAATAAAATTTAAATTCATCAACTGTAAAAAGTTTTTCTGCTCATGTAATGAAAAATTATAAAGTCAATCCAACTTGAAATTTTGACAGATTATGAAAATGGTACTCATTTAAAATTAACAATAGTTCATTTATTAATATGCATTTATTTAAGATGGATATTACATAGATCAAGCAATAAATAATTTTAAAGTAAAATAAATTAATATAATTCTTTGATTACAAAAATTATGCAATGAAAATTTAGTATGTTTTACTTGTTTAAATTTGAAACTTAACTAATACAATCAGAATATCACTTAAAACTCAATTGAATTATTTTACACTAGTTATTTTTTTTTTTTACAGGTTATAAGAACTTGTTTTTGTGTTCTTGTCATATTCGAATCCAAGATCGGTGTATTTGATTTTAATTATATCATTGATATTATCGGTAATATATTTAAGAAGAAAATCAAAAGTTGTGATATTTTTATTTTTCAATTGACAACCATAAATTTCATCTAAATTTTTTTCCGTTGATTCCCCATCAAGTGGATCATCATCATCATCATTAACATTTATATAGACTTTTGTGTAGAAGATTATACTTTTTAACTTATCGTTAACATCTGCGTATTCTAAATAGATCATATCATCATTCAAATTTGTATTGATTTCAATTTCATTAAAGTTATTCAATGTAGTACTTAAATCATTCAACATTTCTTTTTCTACGCTTACATTTAAATTGTCTATGAATTGTAATGCGCTTAAAAAACGTGTTGTTACCATTTTTGCTTTTGTAAGAGTTGATTTAATTTTTATCATAAATTCTTTTTGAATCTCGATACTTTCTTCATCATATTTAATCAAACAATCATTATTCATAAATATTAACATTTCAGTAAGTCAGTGTAAAGTGTTTGCGTACTCATAACTTATCAATAAAGATGTTTGCAATAGTTTTACGTCCACGTTATCTTCAGTAACAGTATTCATAGAATCACGTATGAGTAAATTATTAATATTTAATACTTCAAGAGTATTAGTTTTGTACCAAGTGTATTTGTCCGAGAACGACCATTTTTCTACCTCAAGAAGTGAATTCAATATATCAACAACGTTTGTCTGATTACATGATGTCAATAAAAAACCACCCAACAAAATAAGCGAAAATGTTACAATAGTAAACGATTTCATAATATTTGTAATAACAATTAAAAAAGTTTAAAAGAAAATTTTTTATTTTTCTAAAAGAACTATTAAAAGTGACAATCTTTTTTACTATTTATAAGAAGTTAAAAACTTCAATTACATGTCATTTGATGTAATTTCAACTGTAATATAAATAAAGTGTTTCCTTTAATTTATTTGCTGTAGTATAATAATAAATTTATATGATTTATTTTTTTGTTTATGAAAATTTTTATCGATTTAAATTACATTAATACTAATGTCTATTTGCTACATTTGTATAATATAATACAGTGTGATTAATTGTTATTTATAAATAATTTATAAATTGTCAAATATATTAACTGTGATAAAAAATAGATATATCTGTTCTACAAAAAAAAGAATAATATGAGACATTTGGTATTTTATTTAAAATATTTTTTTTCGTATAATTCGTTATGTTTCATTATCTACTAAGTCTTTATCCCATTTATTTGAGGTCTACTTTACCTTACAATGATTTAACATCATTTTTATGACATCTGTCGACCAGACGCATCCTAATAATGGATGAAGGAATAATTCATAACGTTTAATTTGAAAATATTTTTAAGTTCAATGAGTGATAATCATTTAACCAAATTCTGTACAACTTAATTTTTGAACTAATGGAACAATTCTAGGGGTATATTGAATGGATTTTTTCCAAAAAAAAAAAAATTTATACAGGCGGCCTAATTGACAACGCTAATAATTATGATACAATTATAATTTTGTTGAAATTAATTTTTAATTATTATTTCCTTCTTAAACTACGTTTAAAGCATATATTTTATTATTTATCACTAGAGCTCGGATGTTTATGACCAAAATTTAATTAAAATATGCATTTAAAAATGTAAAAATATGCAATTATATGCCTTAAAATATATTAAATATACCAA